TTTGAGTATCTTGAGGACTTCTACGAAAAACTTGGCGTTTAGGGTATATCCAGGAAGAACAAATTCATGTTTGACGATACCTTTGATGTTAAAAGAGACAATGAGCATCGTTTTCACTTCGGATTTGCTCATTCTTTCCGTCTTCAGCAGCAACCTCTTTTCGGCCCTCCAAACGCCACCGAAACACACCACTTCTTTCAGTTTATAAAAGAGTTGGAGTTTGTAAGTTCGCAAACCAAGATTCTTCCTAAAACCTTTCCATAAAGTCAATAGGCACAGCTCTAATTACTGCGGGCGATATCAGATGAGCTCGTTCGGACCGAGGAATGCGCATCCTACTACTAGTACTACTATTTAAAACTTGAAGCAAAATAGATCCATGGCTGATCGAATTTCTGACTCTGCTGGGCGATTATGTCGCCCAAATATTGGACGCAGCGCATGTTGTGTCGCGCGAACCGAACCTATATTTTAGTAATAAATGTTTGCAAGCATATTGTGTTTATTATAAAACAAGAAACTAAACTAATTAAAAATCAAGTAACAGCTGCCAAGAGCACAAGCTCCGAAAAAACAATTGCCCCTCAATGAAAACTACAACTCTAACATGCGAATTGCTCATTTCACAAATACAATTTTATATTAGGCTGACGCGTAAGAAATTTATAACGACGACAGTTCAGTACATGCAGATATAGGCCAGGATATGCGGGAGATCGAGAAGCCAAAAAATGTCAAAATACAAGAGGTGTTGGAAGAAAGGGTTAATTGTTTTCACAAAAGTCACTCAACATGAATTAATGGAAAAAAAACAGACAGGCGAAAAGGGTGAAAGGCGTTCGAGATAATGGGGATATTGTGCACGAGTCGGCGTTCGGAAAAACGAAAAACAAATGCGGATGAAGTGCTTAAGTTAAGCAAGCAGTAAAGTGTTGTATACATTAAGGCGTACGCATGTTTTCCGTACTTTTACTTTCGTAATTTTTTTTTTTTTTTTATTGAAACGTAACAAGATATGGTTTTACATTTCATTCGAATTGCAACTAGTGACAAATGTACTAACAAGCAATATTTTTCATAACTTATAAGGTAAAACAATAAAGCTCTATGGAATCTTTGCACCATTTCAATGTATAAAGGTGCAGCACATCCCCATAGCTGAATTCCGTATGTCCAAATGGGCTTTAACGTTYGKTTGTAAACTAAAATTTTATTTGAGGTTGTTAARGGTGATTTCTTGCCGATTAACCAATTTATTTTGTTGTATTTTAGTTTTAGTTCTGCAACTTTTCTTTG